TACTCTCTGCACTTTTTTCTTGTTTTTGTGTGTGTGTGTGCTGTTGTTATTGTTGTTGTTGTTCATTTGTTTGTTTGTTTTCTTGTTTTGTTTTCCAAGACAGGGTTTCTCTGTGTAGCTTTGTAGACCAGGCTGGCCTTGAACTCACAGAGATCTGCCTGCATCTGTCTTCCAAGTGCTGATATTAAAGGTGTGCACCCTCTGCATTTTTAATCATGTGCAGAAAAAAATTCATCACTCTTTTTTGGGGGAATGTCAATTGAATGTTTAAATATGAAAGAAAATGTCAAATTGTTGCAAAGTGGTTGTACCATGTCTGAGAGTACCAATTGCTCCATGCCCCTGCTAGCCCTTGCCATTATCAGTCTTTTGAATTTCAAACATTTAAATATATTTCTATAGCTAATTGTGCTTTTAATTTGGGCTTTTACTAGAAAAAGCATTAGTTGTGGTATGCATTGCTTTTAGAGGATATAAGATTTAACTTTGCCCCATTCCCACTTCAGACTCTTTAATTTCAGTGACTTTTTATATATAATTGACCTTTTTATTATTATGTCTTTTTATTTATTTATTTATTTTTTGGTTTTTCGAGACAGGGTTTCTCTGTGGCTTTGGAGGCTGTCCTGGAACTCGCTTGGTAGTCCAGGCTGGTCTCGAACTCACAGAGATTCGCCTGCCTCTGCCTCCCGAGTGCTGGGATTAAAGGCGTGCGCCAAATGTTAATTTAAAAAAGGTTGCTTCACATGTCAATCCCAGGTCCCTCTCCCTCCCCTCTTCCCACTCCTTCCCACCAACCTCCCCCCCCCCATTCACCACTCCTTTCCCAAGGGAGGGTGAGGTCCTCCATGGGAGGTATCCATTGTCTGTCATTTCATCCAGGGCAGGGCCTAGGCCCGCTCCCCGTAAGAGTCCAGGCAGAGAGAGCATCTATCATTGTGTGATGGGTACCAAAAGTCCATTTGCATGCCAGGGATAAATTGCCTAGACCTCCTCACTGACACCCACATTCAAGGAGTCTGGATCAGTCCCATGCTGGATTCCCAACCATCAGTCTGGGGTTCAAGAGCTCCCCCTTGTTCAGGCCAGCTGTTTCTGTGGGTTAAACAAGCCCAGTCTTGAGCCTATGATCATCATTCCTCCCTCTCTGTCTCTGGGTTCCTTGAGTTTAGCTCAGTGTTTAGCCATGGGTGTCAGCTTCTGCTTCCATCAGTCACTGGTTGAAGGTGCTGTTTCCCAGACTCTCTGGCAGTGGGATTGTAGGCTGACACTCCCCTGATTCATGTCTAAAATCCATATATGAGTGAGTACATACCATGTTTGTCTTAGGTATATATCCAAAAGATGCACATTCATACAAGAACATCTGTTCATAGCAGAATTATTTGTAATAGCCAGAACCTGGAAGCAACCTAGATGTCCCTCAGCTGAAGAGTGGATAGAGAAAATGTGGTACATTTACACAATGGAGTACTATTCAGAGGAAAGAAAACAATGGAATCTTGAAATTTGCAGGCAAATGGATGGCACTAGAAGAAACCATCCTGACTGAGGTAACCTAGTCACAAAAAGATAATTGACCTCTTAAAGACAGACTTTTCAATCCCCAGAACAAATTCACAGTTGCAGAAGGGACATCCTGCCAAGGGTGGGACAATGGGACAAACCTGCTAAGAGACTGCTGGCTCTCTACTGAGTCTCTGTGATTCAGAGCAACTGACCACTCCATTGCTCATGGCCATGTCACCCAGATACATGTGCAGAGGTAGTGATTTCTTGGAGTTACCAGCAAGGGTTACCCTTCTTAGCTAGACACAGAGGTTCTCATTTGCTCATTCAATAAACGGTAATTGTGCACTGCTTATGTATCAGCCTCGACTGTGGATGCCAAGCATGCAGCACGGAATAGACAAAGTCCTCGTCCTTATGACACCTGGATGATGCCGAAGGGTGAACAGTGCTTTACAGGTGAGTCAAGTAGGAATGCCTGCACAGATAGAAAAGCTGCCACTTCAATTATCAGGGGAGGATTCTCTGAGGAGATAACACCCCAGTATAAAGGACTGTGTCCTCCCTGTCAGTTCTCCCTGAGGGTTTTGTTGTTGTTGCTGTTGTTTTGAGGATTTTTTGGGAGGGGGGTTGAGTTATCACTAACTATGATTCCATCACTGGCTTAGCTGAGGATGGGAAAGCAGATGGATAGGACCTGTGAATGGCAGAGAGTTGATGAGCTCTCCACCTCTCCCTCTACAGGGGTGTTGGAAGGTACCCCTTCCCCATAACTCAAAAGGCACATCTCAAAGGATGGCGATTCCTTCTACTTTCCAGGTATTTGATATTTTCTTACACATTTAAGCATTCCATTGCCATTCTCCCAAAATGCAACTCCTGGGTATTTTTCAAAATAAATGAAAGTATCATATGTTTAAATGAAAACTTGTACATGTAAGGCCCTGAAAACTTTATTTATAATAACCCAAAATGACAAAAGACCCAAGTGCCTTTCAGTTAATGGATGAATTTTTAATATTGTCTTTCCATACAATGAAATGCTATTCAATTAAACAAAGAAAAAAATAGGGTTCTGGGAGATAGCTCAGTAGAGTACTTGTTGTACAAGAACAAGGGCCTGAGTTTGATTCCCAGGACCTGTGGTTTCTAAAAATCAAACCTGGCACTGGTAGAAGACACTTGTAATCCCAAGGCTAAGCAGGTGGTGAGGTGTGGATTCCTGGAACTCACTGGCCACCCAGTCTACATTGAGAGACCCTGACTCAAAAGAGAAAGGGTGAACAGTGCCTGAGGAACATATCCAAGGCTGCCCTCTGATCTCCACATGTGTGTACACTCACATACATATGTGCAGTCATACACAGGAGAATGTCACATGTGCTTACACACAGAGAGAGAAACAAATGATTGATGCTGGCTATTCAAGTAAGCATCAAAGCCATTGCACTAAGGAAGGAGAATCCACAGCGTATGATTTCTTTCCTAATGAAATTCTAAACATGGAAGAGTGCTGCATAATAGCATAATATAAGGAGCTGATAGCTGCCAGGGGCTGGGGACAGTGGACCACTGAAAGAAGGAGCCAGGGAATTTGGCGAGTGATGGGACCTTCCAAGAACTGAACGAGGCAATGACACCACACAAACAGTATATACGTAGTCAGGTCTCATTGGACTGGGTACCACAAATGGAAGCATCTAACCATGTGCAAATTGCATAACAGTAAAGTACACTGACCTATAAAAGTTTATGAAAATCTCAAAGAATATGCTTGGGGAGATTCTTTTTCAATGAAACAGAAAAAATTAAAAGCAACACAGTAGAAGCAGCAGCCTCTAGCTTGTGCTTGTGAAGATGCTTATGAGAGGGCCTTCCTGAGACTCTTGTCACTAAGGAAGCCTGAGCAACCAGCTGAATATTTCTCCCTTCTGTGCTCCTATAGTGTGCATACTTTTAACAAGTATTGCTCTGTTTATAGTCAGAAATACAGATACACAAACACACAAATATGCATATGCATATACATACATACACATATACATAATATATATATTCTGACAAAGAATTAAAGCACACCTTTAATCCCAGCATTAAGGAGACAGGCAGGCAGATCTGAGTTCAAGGTCAGCCTGACCTACACAGGGAGTTCCAGGCCCACTAGGGCTTCATATGAGACCCTGCCATTCCTCTCTTTCCTTCATAAAAGTAAAAACAAATATTGTTCTCTCAGTGCAAGAATAGATTTTATTTTAACCCATGTGTCACTTAGAAATCTTTCTTAACAAGGGATTGAACCCACCATTATTTGGGTTTTAACTTCCCAGTGAGGCTCGTTCAGTACATGTACCCTTCCCCTCCTCCTGCCCCCCAGGAGGAAGCCAAGACCAGAACATGAGGCTGAAGGAGACTCAAATATCCTCATAAACTGCATATTCACACAGTCTGACCGCAGAAATCCCTGACATTCACAACCAGCCTGAGATGGGTTTATAATGCCTGCTACAAGGCAAGTTGAGGCAGGAGGATTACAAGTTTAAGGATAGCCAGAACAGACCCTGTCTCACAATAAAAAGTAAAAGCTGGGGGGGGGGAGCTAGTCCAATGGTAGAGGTTTGGCCTCACTTGCAAATGAAGCTCTAAGTTCAATCTCTAGCATTAAAAAAAATCAAATTCAAAAGCACCAAGATTCTTTTACCAAAGCTTCCTGCTCTGACTTTGCTGCAAGATTCAGGCCAAACCCAAAGTCCTGCAAAACTATTCTAGAACCATAATACAGAACGTAGGCATGCATCCTGAGTGGGATAAAATACAGTAAAACCAGCATTTACCTTGCTGCTTTTAGAAACAAGGCCCTCGGACATCCCAGGTCCTAGAGCTGATGGGTACCAGAACTAGTGGTGACACCCAGGTATTCGTCAACGCCTCCCTAAGTGAATCTCACACTGCACGCAGAGGCTACCGTCTATCTAAACCTCCACCCTCCTTGTAGAGAATTACCTGTGTTCCTGTTAAAAACACAGATTCCCCAGGCCATGCCCCTACAGCATCCCTTATGTTTCATGGATGGCTCCAGAATCTCCAGTTCTAAACAGCCTCCCAGGACTGCTGCAGGAGATTAGCAAACTCTATTGTGCAGTTCCAAAGTGGATGCCTGAGTAAATCTTCCTAGTAGTCCCTAGGAGGATTGAAGGAAGAGGCAAGAGGACTGATAGGGTAGCCAGCTTGCTTGAATTTATTAAAAGGTTGACAACATTTCAGAGGAGCAGAAAGCTGGGGTAAGTAAGAGACTGCCTCATAGCTGCAAGGCATTTGACTTCATGCAAACAATGCCTGAAACACTGAGCTTGGTGACCACCTCATTGGGACCCAGCTTTAATGATGTCTTGCCAGGAAATTACTCTTTGGTCCTGAGTGCCTTACACGCCAGGGCAAACTCTCCTCTCAGAAATAACATGAGAGGCGGGTCACTGTCTTGGAGGTATGAAGGAGTCTGGAGGTGAGGAGTTCTCCGTCTGGAGTAGGCGGAGGCTGTCCCCGACACTGCCTCAGTTACAGAGGGGAAGGTCTTCATTTCGTTTCACACACAGGTGTGGGCTGACAGCACACTGGACCACAGCACCCGGAACCACAGCAGCTGGAGCCACAGCAGCCTCCTCCGCAGCCCCCGCAGCCTCCTCCGCAGCCTCCTCCGCAGCCCCCACAGCCAGATCCACAGCAGCTAGACCCGCAGCCAGACCCGCAGCAGCCAGATCCACAGCCAGAGCCTCCGCAGCCACAGCAGGAACCACAGCAGCCACAGCAGGACCCGCAGCAGCTACAGCAGCCTTGCTGGCAGCAACACTCCTCACAGCAGTCTTGTTCCTGGGAGCAGCAGTTGAGGCAATCTCCCGGGCAGCACCCCATGGTCCCAGCCGGTCAGGTCGCAGGTCAGGAACGCGGCCGAGCTTCCCCCAGGTCTGACAGTGGCCAGCTGGACAGCAGCTTTTATATCCCCCTCACCCAGGGGTGTTGGCACGGGGCACAGGATGTTTGCTTTGTTATTATTTGTACTGGTTTCCATAAGAGCGTCTCATTAGCTGGATGTTTATTTTCCAGCCGTGAGTACCTCAACTCATAAAAAAAGCTCCACTCGTCCCAACTGCTATTTGTCCAGAGGGTAAAAATATATCTGGGAAAAGACCTGTCATTAGCCAGGTTGGAGAGAGGAAGGAGAGGCTGGCCAAAGAATCTGCTCTGGCTCCTCTCCCGAATCTTCTCTGGTGGCAAAAAGGAGACACCTCGGACTGGCCATGTAGCCTGTTTCCATGGATGCTGACCCTCAGGAACTAGAAGAGCGAGAACAAATCAGCCGAGGCTGCAGCAAGGGTCTGGTTCTGTGGCTCTTCCCTGGTAGAATGGTGCTCTCTCCCCAGCCATGTGAGCAAAGCAAATATTTGTGTCTGTGTGAGGTATGTGGATGTGTGCTGCACGTTTGTTTAGGCTTGGCAGGTGAGCATCAATCACGAGTAATAACTGACTTGTGAAATGCAGATAGACTCACCATAAAACTGCAAAAGGCTGGGTAGCCGCATCCTCTCGGGGCTTCGATAGACTGAACATTCACAATTCTCCCTACACAGGCAGGAAGAGCTCAGGGCAGCACCTGCTACCCTCAGCCCCAGGCCTTTCCTTAGTGGAAGATGGAGATGAGGAAGGGAAGGAGAGACAAGATGGGAAAGAAGTGAGGAACGGAAACAAGGAAAGGAGGGAAGGAGGAAGGGGCAAATAAGAAAGGGAAAAGGAAATGGAAAGATGGAGGGAGGAAGAAATGGAGAAAGGAGGGTGGGAAGGATGAAAAGAAGAGAGGAAGGAAGGAAGGAAAAAGGAAGAAAGGAAGGAGGAAGGGAGAAAGAAAGCAGAAGAAGAAAAATGGGAAGGGATGGGTGGAAAGGGGAAGGAGGTGGAGGAAGGAAAGGAGGAAGGGAGAGAGGAAAGAAGAAAGGAAGGAAATGAGGAAAGAGAAAAAGGGAAGGAGGGAGGAAGGGAGAGAGGGATAAAGGGATGGAGGGAGGGAGAACTATAGAAAAGCAAAACACTTCATTAAAATGGGAACTTTAAGGGGCTGGAGAAATGGCTCAACACTTTTTTTTTTTTTTTGGTTTTTACGAGACAGGGTTTCTCTGTATTGTTTAGGAGGCTATCGGTCCAGCCCGGCCTCGAACTCACAGAGATCCACCTGCCTCTGCCTCCCGAGTGCTGGGATTAAAGGCGTGCGCCACCACCGCCCGGCATGGCACAACACTTAAGAACACTGGTTGCCAGGAAATTTCATGATGTCATTGTTTTAACAGCTGAGTAGTGATCCGTGGTGTGAATGTACCATATTTGCTTTATCCATTCCTTGGTTGAGGGACATCGAGGTTGTTTCCAGATTCTAGTTATTACAAAGCTGCTGTGAACATTCTTGAGCAAATGTCCTTGCGGTATGATTGAGCATCCTTTGGGCACATGCCCAAGAGTATAGCTGGGTTTTGTGGTAAATTGATTTCCAGTTTTCTGAAAAACTGCCATATTGATATCCAAAGAAGTTGTACAAGTTTACTCTCTCATGTGCTTTTTTTTTCTTTGCTCTTTTGGGGGCCTGCCACACAGATCCCAAATAAATAACACGGAGGCTTATTCTCTCTTACAAATGCCCAGTCTTAGCTTGGCTTATTTCTAGCCAGCTTTTCTTAACTTAAATTATCCCATCTACATTTTCCCTCTGGGCTTTTATCTTTCTCTGTTCTAAAAACCTAACTTCTTACTCCATTGTTGACTGCATAGGTTGGTGGCTGCCCCCTAATGTCCTCTTCTCCATCTTTTCTTCTCCTTTTCTTCTTTTCCTGGATTTCTCCTCCTACTTATTCGCTCTGCCTGCCAGCCCCACCTATCCTTTCTCCTGCCTTGCTATTAGCCATTCAGCTCTTTATTAGACCAACCAGGTGTTTTAGACCAGCAAAGTAACACAACTTCACAGAGTTTTTAAAAGAAACGCAACATAAAAAATGCAACACATCTTTGCATCATTAAAACAAATGTTCCAAAGCATAAACAAATGTAGCACATCTTAAAATAATATTCCACAACATCTAGCAGCAATGGAGGAACATTACCCTTGCTCCACATCCTCCCAACATGAGCCGTCACATTTTGATGTTAGCTCTTCTGACAGGTTTAAGATGGAATCTCAGAGTCATTATGATTTGCATTACCCTGATGGCTAAGGATGATGAACATTTATTTAATTGTTTCTCAGCCATTCAAGATTCCCCTGTTGAGAATTCTCTGTCTAGATCTGATTCTGAGTGAGGTAACTCAGACCCAGAAAGACAAACATGGCATGTACTCACTCATAAACTGTAAGATAAAGGATAACTATGCTATAATCCACAGACCCAGAGAGCCAGGTAATAGAGAGAGTTCATGGGAGGACACCTGGATCTCCCCCAGGGAGGGGAAATAGAAGAGAGATTTCATGACTGGACTGTGGGTGGTGGGGATGGAAATATGAGTGATCAGGTTCGGTGGGGGGGCAAAGGGAGAGATAACTGAAAGAAACCACTAGAAGGGGAGACATTTCAAGGTCAGGTAAAAACCTGGCACAAGGAAATCTACCAGGAATCTTCAAGGATGACCCCAGCTAAGATTCCTAGCAATAGCAGATATGTAGTCTGAACAGGCCATCTCCCATAATCAGGCAAGACTTCAGGTGGAGGGAGTGGGAAGCCAACCCAGCCACATAACCTTCAACCTACAGTCTGTCCTGCCTGTGGAATGTGCTGGGGTAAGGGTGGTCTAGAGACTGAGAAAGCAGCCAACCAATGACTGGTCTAGCCTAAAACCCATACCAGGAGAGTCAGCCCACCCCTGATACTGCCTGAAGCACATCGACTCACAGACTTGATGACCCAAGACCTAGGATAGAATCAAACATGACTGGAGGAAAATAATGTCAATGTAATGATACCTAATGATATTCTGCTGTGCTCATAGATTGGTGCCTAGTCCAATTATGGTCTGAGAGGCTTCATCCAGCAACTGATGGAAAAAGATGAAGACCCACAGGCAAACACTAACTTGGGAATCGTGCAGAAGAGGGGGAGAAAGGAGTAGGAGCCAGAGGGGTCAAGGACACCAAAAGAAAATCCACAGGATAAACTAACCTGGGCTCATGGGGCATGCAGAGACTGAACCAACAACCAGGGAGCCTACATGGGACTGACCTAGGCCCTCTGCATATATGTTACAGTTGTGTAGCTTGGTCCTCTTGTCAGATTCCTAGCAGTGAGAGTAGGGACTGTCTCTGATGCTTTTACTGGCTTGAGGGACCCTATTCCTCATACTGTGTCACCTTGATTAGCCTTAATTCAAGGGGAGGTTCTTAGTCTTACTGCAACTTGATATGCCATGTTTTGTTGATATCCATGGGAGATTTGCCTTTTCCTGAATAGAAATGGAGGAGTAGCTTGTGGGGTGGGAATGGGTTGGGATGGGAGGAAAGGAGGGAGGGGAAACTGCGGCTGGGATGTAAAATAAATAAATAACTCCAGCTGCTCTGAAAGAGAAGCCAACTTTAGTTCCCAGCACCCACATGGCAGCTCCCAGCCACCTGCAACTCCAGTTCCAGAGGGTTCAGTGCCCTTTCTGACCTCCGTAGGCACCGTCTACATACATGCAGACCAAACAACCATATACATAAGATAAATAAGTCTATAAAAATAAAAATGGGAATGTTAAAAAAGTGGAAAGACTCAACTGCCATCGACACAGCTATAGATTTTGTGTAGTTATGTGGTTTCTAGGCAGCCAACCTCAGATAAAACCTTCCCTGAGGTTTCATTACTTCTCATAGTTTTTCTTACTGAACTAAACTCCTAACTTAGTTGAATGCTTAACTTCAAGAAGAAGGTAGAAAAAGTGGGAATGATGTAGAGCATCTGCTAGGATGTGGCATTAGTGTAGGACATCCCAGTGGCATCTCAGGGAATCAAATGTTTGGGGGAAGAGATGAGAATTCACAGATTAGGCTCAGTGTACACGTTCTGAAATGTGTGAACCTTCCTGTCTCCACCTTGAGCCTTGGTACCTTGATCTAGAGATGATGATGGCAACCTTGGAGCCAAGGAACTCCATCCTCAGGAGCATAAAGGAATAGTGGTACAGATGGGAATCTGGGCCACATAACATAGGCCCTCCCCTTTCCTTTAACTTTCCTTTGGAGATGACCTGCAAGAGGCCATCTTTAAGAAAGTCTAGGCACACTCAGGACAATGCAAAAGAGAAACGAGAATGAGAAATGCTCAACTTAGACCTAACATAGATCCATCCCAGTGTTTTACCCGATAGGGAACCTGGGACATGAGGAACCCCTGAATCATCGCTGAGCCAGAGTTTCTAGACTAGTTTCACATCAGAATTACCTTGAGTGGTGACTTCACAAAAGCGTTTGACTCCCCAAGATGACACTGGGAAGTTCCACACTAATGCCACCTCCTGTCAGATGCTCTACATCAGCGGCTCCCCACCTTTCTAATGCTGTAACCCTTTATTTCAATACAGTTCCTCACGTTGGAGTGACCCCCAACCATAAAATGATTTTTGTTTCTACTTCACAACTGCAGTTTTGCTATTGTTGTGAATCATGATGCAAATTTCTGATATGTAGAAGATCTGAGAGGAGACCCCTGTGAAAGAGTCATCCGCCCCCCAAGGGGTCCCAACACACAGGTTGAGAACCTCTGCTCTGCCTCATTCCCACATTTTTCCCCTGAAACTAAGCATTCAGTTAAGTCAGGAGTTATATAAGACAGATCTCCAAATTCATCCCTGTCTTGTATTGAATTGGAATGTGAGCATTTATGAAGTCATATTCTTAAAAGTTT